TTTGAATTAATTGATTCACGGATTGTATTGTCCTTTCCCTCAACTGAATCACATCTGTGTCTTCCATACCTTTGGATGCAATGGTCAACAAGTGTTCGATCGGCACCTGATTCTCATTGCAGACAATATTGGATGAGCTCAAGTGATGCCGTAAATGGACGGGTGGGCCGAAGTATACACACTGTCCTCCCTTTGCCAATACATACAAATTGTCAAACATTTGCAATACATCTGAGTTTGGCTGATGTATAGTCGCTATAATGCATATGTTGTGCTTTTGGGCCAAACTTTTTATACACTGAATTACCTGTTGGTTAAGAAGTAAATAATTGTTTAAAAACTTATAATAATTTATATTAATGGTAACAATACTGACCACTTCAGCGACATTACTGTCCAAACCAGTGGTCGGCTCATCAAATAATATGAGATTTGGTTTGTGAAATGCCGTCAACTCGACAGCAATGGCCAGTCGTTTCTGTTCACCACCACTGCATCGGTCGGCCCGAGTGTTCATTGTGTCGCTCATCAATAGGTCGGCCATTATTGCCGACACATTCATCTGATGGTCAAATGCCTGTCCTTCAGGTCCTAAATCACTGTTTTTCAGTCTCGAGGCGTAAATCATGTTTTGTTTAGCCGTTAAACCCATTATTAGAAAGTCTTTCTCGTTGTGTCCGATAAAAGTGGATCTGATTTTGTGGTCACGACTCAAACGAATCCGGGTTTCGGCGCCTAATCTCCTGTTATTCATACCATTTAAACACATCAACAGTGATGTGAGTCCCGCACCCGACGGACCCATAACTCCTGTCAAACATCCAAACTCTCCAAAACCCGAAACATTATTCAAAATCACTTTCTCTTCTCTAGTAATTAATGATTTTATTTTGAAACTCAAATCAATCCAAACAATCGCTGTCTTCGCACTCAATGACAACATTTCACTTATTACTTGTTTTATGAGAATATCTAATATAATACTAAATTAAATATTAAATAATTTAAAAATTAAATAGATTAAATAAATTTCTTGTCAATCACTACTATTTAATAGTGTAGTATTTCTGAATTAAAATACTAAATATAGATTAAAACATACTTTATTACAATTACTGGCCGTAAATAATTTTAAAATCAAATATGGTAATTAAAATACCATTTTAAAATATTATGCTAATTTAAATATCAAATTACACTATATAAGCAATTGATTTAATAATAAACACATTTCAATTAATTAATAATACTTATTATCACTTATTAAAATAATTATTACTATATTTTATGGCAACATCTACTGTAATATAAAGACTGTCCCATATATATGTCCGTACTGTGTTTTTCCATTGAAAACCATTATATGACTACAATATCTTAATCAGGTGTAGATCAGGCATCAGTAGACCGATTTTAATAAACTTGGGTGTTTTTATTAAAGACTGTCCCATATATATGTCCGTACTGTGTTTTTCCATTGAAAACCATTATATGACTACAATATCTTAATCAGGTGTAGATCAGGCATCAGTAGACCGATTTTAATAAACTTGGGTGTTTTTAAATAAGTAAAAGTTATACTTTAAATTCTGATATTCAATAATTAATTTTCCTAAAATCTTTAGAATTTCAACGTCAATATTTAAATTCTTTCAAAATATTTACATTTTTGTGAATTATTCAATGAAATCCTATGGAAAAGACTAATTACTTAATAAAATCACCAAGGAAAGTATACTCATGATAAATTAAATATTATGTTAAATTAACAAATTATACATAATGATTATTCTATTGAATTAATATTATCAATTTACAACTACTATATCCAGAATTAGACTAAGTCACAAAATCAATAATATTTGGAATCTAATATTTTAACAATAAATTTGTTCCTGGTCAACTTAGGGTTAATCCATTATTATTTAAGGCATACCAAATTAAACGTGTATTATTTGCCTTTAAATTCTACTAGTTATTGGTTGACAAAATACTTAGCAAAATGGCAAAATTCTGTATAATGTAAATGCCATAAAATACGGACATATATATGGGACACGGTTTATATTATTGTCTATAAAGCAGTATATTTTGCTTTATATAACATTTCAGTGTATTATAAACGCAATGCACAGTATTTGAAGGGAATGTGAAGGGAAGAGGGAAATGAAGGGAAGGGAAAGGGATTCCCTCTTCCCTGCAAATGAAGGGAAAGGGATTCCCTCTTTTCATGACTGAAGGGAAGAGGGAAGGGAATTGAAAATTAGGAAAAGTTGCAAGTCTATTGTATACAGTATAAAATATACAGTATGGCTTTTATGAGGTTTAAATGATTGGCTGCATTTCAATGTGCGCGTGATTTAAGCATGTAATGTATATAAAAAGTTTTCAAATCATTTTTTAAAGTTACATATCAGAGAAGAAGGAGAGTTTTGAATAAACAAAAATCTATGTAATAGTGTAGATGTGTTTTATATAGTTAAAAAAGTATATAAGTAAATTAAATTAAAACTAAAAATTGGAACTTTTATAATTGTTAAAATTTTGNATTTTACTCAATTATAACACAATCATTATACATATAAATCATTTAGAAATGAATTATATTTGATAATGACATGAAATTTGAGCTTGTTCAGTCTTCTATCTCTAAGAATAATCTTAAACTGAGAGAAAGAACGCTAGACGTCGACGGAGATAATCAATATATATTTCGTAAGGCATGTTGTGGATTACAAAACATGTTTTGATTTCAGTTATATTCAGTTTAAAATTTCATTACGAGTTTTAGCAAAATATTATAGTTATTAAATAAATAATTTTCGTCAAAAAATATCTAAATTCGGGAATATTTGTCATAAAAATAGGCTTTTCGGGAATTTTCTCAAAAATATGCTAAAATCGGGAATTTTCACAAAATAAGCCAAAATCGGGAAAAATCGGGAAAATAAAACTTATATATTTTTGGTCTATTATAACCCCTAAACCTAATGGTATATAATTCCCGATGATTTTGTTAACTATTTTATTCGGGAATTCCCGAAAATTGGAAGCCTTATTAATAACATTAAATACTATTAATATTATCATAAAACATTACACCTACATAAAATAAACATCTCGTATATAAATTGTATAAAAATTGTGAAAATATTTGTTCACTAAACACCCCATAAAACAAAAGTCCAAATGAAATATAAACCCTAAAAAACACGTAAAAATTTTGATTAATATTTTCCACAAATCATTTGTAACATTGAGCTAAACATCAGAGTATTTGAGTATTATTTCAATCATAACATTAATTGTTATATGAGTTGATGTATTCATTGCATTCATTTCATCGATAAGAGTGTGTCTGGAAAAGGGAGACCTTCGATGTCTATTAGGGAGAGACCGACCGCATGGACACTGACCTCCATATTGAGAGCCAACCTATTGGTCACCACATCGTTGCAGACAATACTGTCGCTCATTGTGGCCATCGGTGTGCACGACATAACCAATTACGTGGTGATCACACTGTTCACCATGGTGCTGCTCACCACCACCACGATCGGTTTGATGCGTGACAGCGCCGGTATGCTATACGTTAACACAGTGGCCGCCATCGGCTACTGTCTATACCTGTATGACGGGAAGGGGTGGGCAGTGGGCGCCGCTATTGTGAGTTTGGCGGTCAATACGGTTGTGTCGCTGACCGTTGCCGTTGTGTTTACCGTAAACGAGTGCTACGCGAGGGATATCTACCGTAACTGTCGGCTCCGGGAAGAGGTGGCCTCACCCCTGGCCCTACCCGTGAAGACCATTAGTGGCAACTATACGGTGCCCAACATATTGCGCGACGGGTACGAGAAGTACGTGATGTCCGGCACCGGAGTTACCGATAAAAATGATAATTGTCTTATTATGCGCTCGGAATCGCTTCATATAATCCTTGAATAGATTATGGTTTAAATATGAAATGTAAATGTTTTGCATGTTATATACAATGAGATATTGTATTGTGTTTTTTCTTGGTTTTATTTAAATGTAATAATTTTTATTTATAAACTAATTTAGTTATTATAAAAATATGTTTTATTTAGTGTACAGTAAACCGTGTCCCATATATATGTCCGTATTTTATGGCATTTACATTATACAGAATTTTGCCATTTTGCTAAGTATTTTGTCAACCAATAACTAGTAGAATTTAAAGGCAAATAATACACGTTTAATT